CTCCTGACCAACAGTCTCCTGATCAACAGACTCCTGACCAACAGTCTCAGTCTCCTGATCAACAGTCTCCTGACCAACAGACTCCTGACCAACAGACTCCTAACCAACAGTCTCCTGAACAACAGACTTCTAACCCACAGTCTCCTGACCAACAGACTCCTGACCCACAGTCTCCTGACCAACAGACTCCTGACCAACAGTCTCCTGATCAACAGTCTCCTGATCAACAGACTCCTAACCAACAAACTCTTGACCAACAGACTCCTGATCACCATCTAAAGTCATGTAAATTAGTAAAAATATTTAGTTATTTTCATTTCTCACCATGAATATCTGATGAGTTCTGGATAAAAAACTCTTTGTGGCAGGTCCATGGCAGATGTTCTGGCTCACCTTGTTCTTTTCTAGTTTCTGTCTCTGTTTTTCCTCCAGCAGAGCTCGGCGTTTCTCCGCCTTGAGCCTCTGCTCCTCCAGCTTCCTCCTGCGCTCCTCCAGCTGGTTCTCCCTCAGTTGCCGGGCCTTCTCCTCCTTCTCCAGCCACTGGGCCTTCTTGGCTGCTGCAGGAGGTGCAAGTAAAGACAGAATGTTAGAAACACCAAGACCACGCCTGAGAAACTCTCTGACGTCTCAGCAGAGCTCTGGGTCTCATCTCTAAATTGAAATCATGACACAATGATGACAGCAGACGTTTCAAATAAAATATGTAATATTGAGGGAGGGAGGGATAAATGATTGGTGGATGGATGATGGATGATGGGTCGATGGATGGATGGGTGGATGGATAATGGATGGATGATGGGTGGATGGATGATAAGATGAATGATGGGTGGATGATGGGTGGATGGATGATTGGTGGATGGATGATTGGTGGATGGATGACGGGTGGATGGATGATGGGTGAATAGATGATGGATTATGGATGGATGATGGATGGATGATGGGCGGATGGATGATGGATGGATGATGGATGATGGGTGGATGGATGGAAGATGAATGGATGGATGATGGATGGACGATGGGTGGATGGATGGATGATGAATGGACAGATGATGATGATGGATGGATGACGGGTGGATGGATGATGAATGGATGGATGATGGGTGGAAGGATGATGGATGGATGATGAATGGATGGATGTTGATGGATGGATGATAGATGGATGGATGATAGTTCTAGAATTGCTCCGCTCCAGGTGGCTGCATGTTGGAGCAGCTCTGCTACTTTCATTCAGAGATTTTGCTTTTGGAAACTTTAATTCCTCTTTTTCTGGATGTAAATCACATTTTCTGGATGATTGTTTCCTCTGGTATCAGATGCTGAGCAGCTGGAAGGATTTTTACTGAAACTTTTTTAGTTTTGGACATTTGTTATGATGCGTAACCATGGCAACAAGGCAGTTTTCTACAACCAACAGCAGCTGATTAACATCTCAAAAGCTCAAAAAATATCTCAACTACAGCCCCAAATCTCAAGTGAGTTGAAAAGGATGTTCTGTGGACGCATTCTCATCTACCTGCCAGCTGTGCTCGAGTGCCTGACCACTGGGATTCTGGAGCTGACGGGAAACACGGCTCATGACAGCGGAAGGACAAGATCGTCCCTCAGCACCTACAGTTGTCTGTCCGCAGACGAGGAGCTCAGCAGACTGCTGGGAGGAGTGGCCATCGCTCTGGGAGGAGTTCTGCCCGGCATTTGGGCGGTCCTACAGCCCGGGGGAACCAAGAGGTCAGCCGAGTCTGGGTGGACGGATCGGACGGCATCTGCAGCCAGTTTCTTAGGATCCACTGTGGGATGGACTTTAACAAGAGATCCTTCCTGTCTACAGCATCAGCATCTATAACATCTCTTAATGAAATGAGGATCACGAGTTACAACAACAAATAATTTCCCTTTGGGATTAATAAAATATTTTTGAATTGAATTTTTTTGAATGATGGATGGATGATGGATGGATGATGGGTGGATGAATGGATAATGGATGGATGATGGATGGATTATGGATGGATGATGAATGGACAGATGATGATGGATGGATGGATGATGATGATGGGTGGATGGATGATGGATGGATGATGGATGGATGGATGATGGGTGGATGGATGGATGGATGATGGATGGATGATGGATGGATGGAGAAACAAGTGGGCAGGGTTAATCTTTTTAAAGCAACAAAGCCTTAAATGACACAGCTGGAGATGTTTTAACATAAAAACATTTAGGTTTGTTGAAGATGAAGATGTTGGTGAGACCCCATGCTGCTGCTGCTGGAGGTCAGAAGACTCAGGACGTGTTTTCATGGATTCGTGTTTTAAAATCAGCAGATGTGGAAAAAGTCAACGAGCGGCAGCTTCTAGAGATCTGTCCGTTTTAACGTTGAAACAAACTAAAGCTGCTGCTCTTTCATGAGCTCCGCTACATTTAGCTTTTAGCTCGTGTTCAGCTTCTTCAGCAGTCATTCGGTGCTCAGAAACAACAGTTTTTCTTCAGGTTACTGGGGGTGGCTGTGGGTTTTAGACCTGGATGTGTTTTTGGTCAGACCAGAGGTCCTGCAGGACTCAAAGTTCTGCTCCAATTCTTGGAAACAAGGACTCGGTGACTATTGTGACAAACTGTTGCACAAACTTTTTCATCAGCCTTCAAATTCAGTCCAGAGGACTGTGAGCGTCTGAGACGCACAGGAGGACATTGAAGGCCTGGGAACGTTTGGACATGGAGTTCTGTTCAGGCAGATATTAGCTCACGTCGCAGCGCCACCAACAAATTCAACATCTTCACTCCTCGCTCTACTTTCTGCAGCAAAAAGCTGAAGACACAAGCTCAGAGATCAGCTGCAACAATCATCCAAATGTTCTGTTGAGTTAAACACATTTCAGCGTTCCAGAGACTCAAACTGACCCCAGAGCAGCTGCAGCAGAGTCGACCAGTAAAACCTACAGATCTGCTGCACAGCTGATGGCACGAAGAACTCAATGAGACCTGCTCCCACTTCCACGCCTGGCAACTTCAGCTCTGATTGGCTGCTTCTCTGAGCTCAGCTCTGATTGGCTGCTGCTCTGAGCTCAGCTCTGAT